AAGAACGAAGAGCGTGGGCCGCCAGGATGACGGACGCGAGCGTTGAATACGTGAAGAAGCTTGAGAAACAGAAGTCAGAACACGAGACCGAAATTGCCGGTAAAATTTGTTGTTTGTTGTTGTTGTTACGATTTTTTGACTTTGGTTTTTTAATCCTTTCTAAAGTTCAAATGCTAACGTATTCCTGGAAAGTTTATTCCAACGCAATTACGAAGCCGTTTTAAATGTTACAGTTTTCAACTTGTAGAGCAGTGTATTCTGATTTCAGCAGAACTGTGGTAAAGTCTCCGGTTTGTTAACTTTGTCGCCCATGTTGTATGCACGGCGCAGAATCCCAGATAGCCTTTATAAAGCTTATGACGGGATTTTTCGGGGGTTTCCTATATTTTTTGTGTTGTTTGACTCCGTTTTTGGTTTTATATCATTGTTTTTAACGAACCCTCCAATTCTAGACCTGGAGAGGGAAAACGCCAATCGAATCGGCGAAATGACTGATAAGTTCAATAGACTGAAGGCGGACTTATCCGTAAGATACCTTTGTCCTTTAGCCCCAATAATATACTTTCTGACATTTTAGTATTTTAATGCCTAGCTTCCTAATTCCAATCAAAAGATCTTTGGGAAAAATTAATAGTCACTAGGTTTGTATGGCACTGGACGTGGTCATGAATCTCGCACTAAACGATATGGAACAGCGTCCTACATTAATCCCTACGTCGCGGTATTGTTCTCGCGCTCAATTACGACAAGGTCAGACTAGTAACCTAGTTCGTACCGTTTACTAATGTCTGCAAAGGGGAATTTCTCTTTCCCAAAAATTGGCCAACTGTTTTGTTTCAAAAGTCCATTGTAGTAGCTGTTATCTCTTTGTACACTTCCAATGAAAGCCAGTTTGTTGTTTTATTTCTCTTAGAAATAAGTTATATGACAGTGATAATGCAGAACAGATACTATGATTTGCACGCATACTAAAAAGTCGGAGGACATTCATGTACAGGTAAATTCAGGGCGCGTCTCCAGAACGTTAGCCTTATCCATTTTTTTCAAAAAGTCAAGTATTCACAAACCTAAAATATTAATTTTGTTAAAATATGTTTAAAACGGACATAACTTTCGAGCTTTCTCTATAAATCTTACGTGCAAATATCGAGAAAGAACTAGTAGAACTGAAATTTGACGGCTGTGCCTTGTTCACTTTGGTCTGGAAGGTCGACAGGGATTCTGTGAACACTCTGCTGTATGCCCTTCGATTTTCCATGGTCGAATCTTACATCTGCATTCGAGGCTGCGACACGTTTGTTTGACGTTCGACTTAACAGAAGAACAGGAAACATATACATTTAAATTCTCGCGGCTCCCCTCGGACTAGAAAATAATACTTAGAGCAGACTAATCAGCTAATGGGGCAACTTTGATATTTTATGTCACCGCCTATAAACGTTGACGAATAGTGCTGTTTGGACTTAAAAAGCTAGCCAAAATTGAATTTTACCACTGGTAGTTACCTAGGAGAATCGAGATTATTGGCATTTTTGTTGGAATTATATGCTGAAATGGACTTTTTAGAGGCCTTACTTAGAACATGGGAACTGGAGGATATATGCTGATTTTTTGCCAGTTTCTTCACGTCTAATCGCAGAAGCCAATCCATGTTCAGGCTCTTAAAACCTAGTTTTTTTAGCATTATTGTGCAGTATTGCATCTCGTCAGCTTCGCTCTATAACATACGTATTAATTTTTACCTGTGTAAAACTCATTGCGCCAGGCAGCTTCTAGGCTGCTGAACAAGCCGAAGATGAGCTTTAGTAGTTAATTCGTTGTTTCAAAATTTCTTATGAAGTTCATAAAAAAGTTATATGCGTCCGTAGCTCACATGACACTTGTCTTTCATACTTGCTAATTTGTGCCTCAAGTCTGAAACAGTTGATAAATGAACTCCCTGCTCGTACGTATATATCCTCACTTGCAGTTTACTGGATTGCTCCCTTACAGAAAAAAGTGGACCTGTTGCAAGAAGAGTGTACACAGCTACGACAGTTTTCCCTGGAGGCCCAGCGAACTGCGACCCAGAAGCCATCAGTGTACGACGAGAGTGTAAGCTTGCTGGCTAGTCGCCTCTGTTTTATTTTTATAAGAGAGTACAACTATGTAACTTAAAAGACCTTCAGTCTCTGGACCTCCTTAGCTTTTGTGAAGTGCACGAAGAAAATTTAAATTATGCCTATTTTCAGAGTGCGGATTCTTGGTATAGGTACAGTGAGTGACCTATCTCATGAAATGTTGACTGAAATTCTGAAACGTGTTTTCGATTAGGAAGAATTACTTAGGCGCGGTTGTAATACTAATTATCTTATGGCATAATCGTATATTATTTCGGACTCGGCAGGATGTCGGCTTTTAAATACACTGCTTTTTAATCTCCTGTAAAAAACGTACTCGGTAAAACATTATTACTTAATTAGCATGCATTTTTCTCATTGATTTTCGATGGTCTTGCAAATTCAAACATATCTTAGAGAAACCATAAAAAATACGTTTTCTTTCAGTCAATTAATAGACAATCACGTCTTCTTTATATTTTTTTATTCAAGGAAGGAGTATAATCAGGTTTTAAAAAAGTTTCTAATTATAAGATTTTCTAAGACCGCGCAATGTCCATTCACATAGTATCGCACCTGGCCGTTTATGACAGCTCCTCGTGAAATGTACAACATAGTCCGGATCCATTGCAAAATTTTGTAAACTCTATATGGTATCTTCCTAAAGGCATAGAGGAATATGTGATTTTCCTTACGTAGAAAGCATACACCTTGTAAACTGAAATGGCAAATCTGGCTCAACATTATTCGGGAATTGGAAAACTTTTTTGAAACCTAATTATACTCCTTCCTTAAGTATAAAATATAAAGAAGACGTAATGTTCTATTGATTGACTAAAAGAAAGCGTATTTTTGTTCATGGTTTCTATAAAATATATTAGAATATCCAAGACCATCGAAAATCAATGGGAAAAATGCGTGCTATTTAAGTAGTCATTTTTTACCGAGCACGCTTTCTACAGGAGATTGGAAGAAAGTGCATTTAAAAGCCAACATCCTGCCAAGTCCGAAATGTTATATGAGCATGCCGCAAGATAATTAGTATTACAACCACGCCTAAGTAATCCTTCCTAATCGAAAACACGTTTCAGAATTTCAGTCAACATTTCATGAGATAGGTCACTCACTGTAATTTCTCTTGAAACCATTATTTGGCGAATCAATTAATTGCATTATGCGCATCCGAAAGGTTATTTGTTAATTAAAATCCAATACAAAATTGGGTTCGCTCTTTGCTTCCTTTGCGAGTTTTCCTATTTTATCCTAATCAAACCTACAGTGCCCCATACTGAGAAATCGATGATTTTCTAATTAATTTCTATGCAAACCAGTGTCTACACGCTGATTTCTAGTATAGAAATAGTTTATTTATTCGCTATAGCTGAAACAATTCTCATTTAGCGATTTAGAAGACGGCAGCTGGAGAAACGATCGTTTTCAGCAAATCCCCGTCGGGACTTTAGGATTGCGTACATATTTAATGCATTCAGGATGAGCCATCACCTAGGGTTTCAAACCGCATGCAGTCTCTTCCTTTGCCTTTTTCTCCCTGCAACCCCGAAGCCTACGGATTCCACCAAATAAAAGTACCTATTTCTTCTTCTTGTTCTTTTTTCTTCCTATTTACCCGAGTCGAATTGACCCGTCTGGTAGCCCACCACATTTAACACCCATACACGTTCAATTGCAATTTCTTTCCAAAATTCTTCCAGCTCTGTGTGCAAGCTTCATGCCAAGCTGGTTCACATGCGGTCATACGCCGTAAGGAATTTCATTACGTGTGCAATTTTACGGGCTTAAAGGCGATTCACCAAAGACGATCGTTTACCTATCTTTCTTGTTTTCCTGTTCTTTGAGGGCACTGTGGAGTTCTAGAAAAAGTAATTACTTTATAACCACTTTTAACAAACCGCTGGAAAAGAAATAAAAATGAGTCCGGACCGAACCATTTTATGATGCGACAGCTTTGTCAGAGCTTTACAGTACGGCAGTTATAGAAAAGGAAGTTCAAACACTTTAATTCTGAATAGGTGGTGCATGCAGTTTTCTCTTCTACTAATGTTTTGCATATGGTCCTAAAGTTTGTTGGGTGCTCAACCTCGAACACTTCCGTTTAGCTAACTCTGTAACAGTGAACACTGCCAATCAATTTCCACAGCATTACGGTCATTTCTTATTAGGCCGGACTATGGCTTACCGGTGGCCACATTTCGAAATTCCACGCTGGTACGGCTAATGGAATGCTCCTCCCGCGGTTGTTCTGCCATGCTGCGGCACAGAACGTCAAATTTGGCTTCTGAAAAAGTAATCCCTAACCGCTATCCTAACTTCTTTTAGATTCAATTTCCGCAAGATATTGGTGAATTAGAAAACTCGATTCTACAACATCTTCAGCCGGATAAGTCTTCTGATCATTCAAGCTTGAATCGTTCATTCTGTTCCGCTCACGGTGGTGCATGCTCAGCGC